TCCATCTCGATGGTTGAGATTTTGTTGCATGCTCTATCCTCAGCACCAAAGACGTGATCTGGCATGTCCCTTGTGATTAGTGTACATCCGCAGAAGAAATGAGGGTCAAATGGGGCGGAGGATGCGTGTAGTGTGCTGGGTCCACTTGCCGTGACCCCGGGCTCCCCTCGGCCCATGATCTCTGCTCTGTATTTACCGGTCCATCTCCTGCTCCCTCACGCATCTGGTTTCCCTGAGAAGGGGTTGTTCCTCAGTGCAGGTTGGAGGGTCCTGCTTAGTGGAAAGCAGTATCTCTCCCCCTACCCCAGGGAACACACCTCTTTTTAAATTTTTATTTATTTATTTATTTTGGTCTTTTTGAGACAGGGTCTCACTATGCAGTTCAGGGTGGCCTTGAGCTCACTTTGGAGCCCAGGATGGTCTCAAACTCACAATGATCCTTCTGCCTCAGCCTCCCGAGTGGTGGGATTACAGGCGTGCACCACCTGGCCCGGCACACACCTCCTTTTTTAATGCAGAACTTTTCTTTGGTCTTTGGTTCTCCTTCTCTCTGTGTGTGTGTCTCTCTCTCTGTCTCTCTCAGTTCTGCTTCTGTCTCTCTCTTGCTGTAGACCATTTGTGTGTGTTGCTGGTGGTGATGGAGTCCAAGGCCTCTCTCCGCACTTGCAGTTGAGCCACACCCTGAGCTTGCTTTCTTTTTTTCCATGCATAGTCAAACCAATTCCTTTTTTTCCTTTATGGCTGCTGAGTTTGTTGAGAACAGTTCCACACGTGTCCACATGGACCCAAAGCAGGTTAATTGGCAGCCACTCTGCCCCTCACCTGTCATGCAGTCCAAGACCTCTTTGTGAAGATTCCTCAAGGGCCACAGGCACCTCGAGGAACAAAGGCAAAAGCATGTGTAGTCTAGGGTGGGCTAAAAAGTTGTGGTGATCCTACTGCCTCACTATTCCAAGTACTGATATTACAGTCATGCACCTCCACATCTGGATTTCCAAACGTTTAATTTTTTGGCTAAAAATAGTCTAAACACTGTGAAATAGTGAAGATACTAGGATCTTTATCGAAAGAAAAAGGAAGTATCAGTTTAAATTAAACATAATATATTCATTAAAGTTCTCTGCATTCCTTTCTAGCTTATCACATATTACAAAAATCCCTTCTTATAGTGAATAATTCTTTATATCATGCGTTCAGGTGTTCTAAATACCATGTGGTGTCTGTGTCACACCTCATAGAGATAGCTACATATTTCAGCCAATAGTTTGTCTTCCCTCTCCACAGGCACTCAGTACCATCAGTACGTGCCTCATCCATGGGCATGACATTCCAATTACCATAGCCTGTATCAGGTGACCTATTTTCCAGAGAAGGAGATCCCCGAGGAGGTACCCAATTATGGAGCCAGTGACTGTATCGCACTTTCAGGTTTATGCAGATTTGACTTTATGAACAAAACAAACTACACATTGATAATTACCATAAGGGTTTATTGATACAAAAGTATTTTTTCACCAAAATAAGATGTTGTATATCTCTAGTTGTAATAATCACCATTATGTAAGAATGTATGTATACATATATATATTTTTGGGGGTGGTGCAGTTACCAGGAATCAAACTCTGGACCTCACGCTTGCCAGGCTGGTGCTGCACCAGTGAGCTAAATTCTGGCCCGTAGTTGAGATATATTTTCTCCCATTATTTTGTTAATAAAACCTTCTGAGAAGTTATAATCTTTCTAATTATTTTTTATTTAAATTATATCATTTTTCACATACCTTTGTTAGAAATAAGTATGGTCATTTAAGTACGCTAATCTCCATCCCTTACAAGATTATTCTTTAACATGTTAAAAGATGGTGTTTGGGACCCAAAGATGCATATATTTAAGGAAATGTTTTTGCATAGATACAATTGATCACATCACAAACCAGAAGTGATTTTTTTTCCCATAAAAGTTACAAGCTCTTCTAAAATACACACGTGATTTCAGGAGATGCTAAGGCACTCTGGAACAAAACACAGTGGTGGTTTCTTTGGCTTAGAGCTTGGCTTTCTGCTTAAAAGACTCCTTAAGCTTCTTGACAGTAGAAAGATCACCGACTCCCTCAGGCCAGTTGTCATGATCTATTAAGTGGAAAACTTCATGTCACTTGCAAATCTGTTAACTTCCTTTGTCCTTAGTTTCCACTCAGTCCTCTAGTTATTGTCCCTCATTCATCCATGCAAGAAAAAGAAAGAAATCCTTTGGACAGATGGCAAAGGTTTTGTTTTTTGTTTTTTTTTTTTGTTTTGTTTTGTTTTTTTTTGGTTTTTCTCCGGTACCGGGAACCGAACTCACGACCTTGCGCTTGCCAGGCAGGTACTTTGCCGCTGAGCTAAATCCCCAGCCCCCATGGCAAAGGTTTTGTAAAGAGACCTGGATTGAATCATTAGCTTTTCCTAATTTGGAGAAGCTACTCTTCTTAGCCTCAATCTTCTTATCTACTGAAGGGAATAATAACTACCTTTTAAAGTTGTAAGAGTTAAATGTGACATCATTTCTATAGAGCCTGGCATACTGCAGACATTCACTAAATAGTATCTCTTTAATCCTTCAATACATGGTATTCCATTTTTGGAACACACGTAACAACAGAATGGAATATAATTTTTTTCATCTTTCTCTTTCCTCAAATTCTCTTTTTTATTAAGAATAGAAAAATTTACTGGGGAAAAAAAAATAGCTCTTGAGAGACAGTAGTATCGGGGAAATGCTAGATGTCAATTATGCCCCAAAATCAGAGAATGAATTTTAAGGAACAGCCAAGGTTAAGAATAAGAAAATTTATTGGAGAAAAGGAATGGGGAACAAGGTAGCTCCTGAGAGACAAAGAGGGGTCCCAAATGGGTTGCCGTCTTCAAATTCTTGTTCCTTGAATTTTTCTAGGTAACATACATGAATTTCATGCAAAAATTAAGAAATTGCAATCTTTGGCATAAATGGCTGAATAATTTTTAAATAATTTGCTAACTTTACAACATCCTCTATTAGTTGCCTCCCAGCATAGAGTTCCCATCTCCTCTTCCTAGGATCCTCCATTTCTATTGGAGAATCTAAGAACATCTTGGGAAATGACTCTCTCCTGGCGGGTGGTGTGTGAGCAGATAGGGGAGGCCAACTGTCGGTCTGTATCACCCTGGCTGTGGTATTGGATGAAAACTGGCATTCACATGAACTGGTCTAAAACAGCAAATCTAAGAATTTTTAAAGAAATTCTAGAAAAAGATCATTCTCTCCTCACTCTCTGATCACCTGGATGTGAGCAGAGAAGCAAGTGGCCTTAGGAGTAGCAGGTAGCCACTTAGCACCAAGGAGAGAAAGCCTGCATCATACAGTTGAGGAGGGTGCTGCCAGGTTTCTGTTCAACCACTATCCAGAGAAAGAATGTTCTCAAAGGTGGATAGGTTACTTTCCCTCAAAATATGAATACTCAGTATTATTGATAAAAACAGTGTTAGTATTTTTTTTTTTTTTTTTTTTTTTTTGGTTTTGGTTTTTCTCCGGTACCGGGAACCGAACTCACGACCTTGCGCTTGCGAGGCAGGCGCTTTTGCCGCTGAGCTAAATCCCCAGCTCCAGTGTTAGTATTTTTTAAAAATTCATTTCACTGAAGATCCAGGGAAGCAGCTATCTGAAATTTCTTTCTCTTTTTAGTTTGTTTTTGTTTTTTGCTTGTTTGTTTTTTGTCTTTTTGAGACAAGGTCTCCCTATGTAGGTTTTTTTGTTTTGTTTTGTTTTGTTTGTTTTTTTGTTTTTTCCGGTACCAGGAGTTGAACTCATGACCTTATGCTTGCCAGGCAGGCACTGTGCTGCTGAGCTAAATCCCCAGCCCCCGTCCTCCCCTATGTAGTTTAGGCTGGACTTGAGCTCACTTTGTAGCTCAGGCTGGTCTCGACCTCACAATGATCCTCCTGCCTCAGCCTCCCAAGTGTTGGGATTACAGGCATGCGCCACCACACCTGGCTTAATCCAGGTTCTTATAACCATACCAATGTTATTAGTAAAGAAATATATAAGGGAGGGAAAAATAAGTAAAATTGAAGTGCTATACTAATTTACTAAGGCATAGAGGATCTCACACCTTGATTAGACTGTGGCACAGAATAAACTTAATCTGAATCCCTAATATGAAATTCAGATACACAAGGGTCATGTAGTTATTTAGTATTAGCCACTTACTCAACTATCATTAGCAACAGAAAGTCAAATAATTTTTACATCATTTTTCTTAGTTTTTTTTTAAGCATAGTTTTTAGCTTCTGTGGATTTGTTTTGTCATATGTAAAATTAGGATGTAAAATCTTGGAGTTTTTAGTATTCTTCCAACCTCAAAGGACTCCAACTGAGCTATGAAATAAGAGCATGCATACACATGTGCACACACATGCACACATCATACAAAGCAATACATTTGTGTGTAATATCAATACCCAGTGGAAACTCAGAGTACATTTTATACATCAAAAAAGATTGAGTTTGGCAGTTTCACATTGTTAAACTTAATATATATCCATCCCCAAAGAAGGCAAAGTACAACCATACTACTCCACCTCACCTAGCAGTTCTACTCTTCTGTTTAGATACGCAAGGCATTTATTGGAGGAAAAAAAGAGGACTTAAACATATGGCAATCTCTTGCCCTTTCCTATAACTCTGTACATATACACTCATAGATGTTTTTAAAGTTTCAAATTCCAACAATTTATGCACACAAAAATATTTCCTAAATATATACATTTAAGATCTGTAATAAATATATTTACATATTTTCTATGACTAGAAATGTTTCCTTCAAAATCCTGTCATCAAGCTAAGCATTTAGCTCCTAAGGAGCTACATTAGAAAGTTTGGGCACTGGAACATGAAAGGCATAGGGTGAGTGACTACTCACTCCCTGATTGCTCACCTGGTATGTCATAGCCTTGAGAGTACAGAGCCTGGCCACCGTCCACATTCACCAACTGTCCAGTGACAAAGGAAGCTGCAGGTGACAGCAGGAAGCAAACCAGAGAGGAGACCTGGAAGCAGGAGCACACATGTATACATTAAAGCAAGGGGTCCTCTCCATTTCTAGCAGCTCCACATTCCCAAGTACACATATCTCATATCCTACAGCTGTGATGTGAATCCTAATGCGTGCACCATAATCTGACAGCACATTTGAGCCTGACTGAAGTCTGGAAGTGATCAGAGTAAAAATGGCAAGATGTGAAGGAGCTTTACACAGTGCCAATGTGAAAGGTCAAAACTGAAAAGCGTGCTAAATCTCTGCAGTTTTCTACTTTAAACAGTTCACTTCTTTTCATACCTTCCATCATCCACTGCAACCCCATTTCCATCACTGCCATGTGCCTTTTATTAGTTTTGTCCATGAAATAGTCAACAAGCCTGTGTAGCAATACATTGGCATGCTGGTTTAGACATTCTAAGGTCCAGTTGGACCCAGCAGCACAGATGGCAGGAGTTTTCTACAAGAGGGACTTCAAAATCCCACTGCATCCCCTAAAACATAATTATTGATGAGTTCAACAACATACAGAAAGAAAGAATTTCTTTCACTAACCCTAAAGAACAGAAGCAGAGTTTTTTGGATGGTGATGATTCTAAATACCTGATACTTCTTCCTCTCTCAGGGACTATCACTTAATAGAAGGCAACCTACTGATAAACAGGCCAGCCAGTAGCCTGGTGTGACATTTCTCCCTGCCTACTGACCCAGGATGCAGTACAGCAGAGGCCAAATTCTCTTGTTATTCTGCACCTCAGTATAGGTACCATTATCTGTCCTTTCCTTCCCTTCCAGACTCTGAAGAAACCAGCTACATCAGCAATTGTCAAAGTGTAGCTGGTCAAAGTCTGAGTGTTCCTAAGAGCTTTCCAGGGGATTTTCAAGGTCAAGGCTATTTTCATAGTAATCCTAAAGGATAATTTATCTTTTTCACTGTACATTTACTGATGTGCCAAAGCAGTGACAGAAAAAACTGCCCAATCCTTGCCGTAAATCATGACAGGCGCACAAAACTGTGCTAACTGTCATACAGCGGAAGTCACTACATTCTTCACTTGCAAGCCGCTGTGGACAGGGAGGGGGTAGCAGTCTCCCTTTGTCATGTCCTCAATGAAGCAGCAAAAAGTATTAATTATATGAACTCTCAACCAGGGAAGGCACATCTCTTTAATATTCTGTGTGATAAAATGAGAAGCATACTGTTGGAGTTACTTTCTCATTGCTGAGACACAATACCCAACATCCAAAACTGTAAGGAGGAAAAATGTATTTTGGCTCACAGTTTATAGAGGTTTCAGTCCATAGTTTGCTGGCTCCAAGGCAGGGCAGCATGGCAGAGGGGAAAACAGCTCAAGGCACAGCAGTGGGAAGCAGAGAGATCAAGGGAGGAGGGAGGGAGATAGGCTCTTGCAGTCTACACCCCCAGGAACCCACCTCCTCTGACCAGGCTTTCATTCCCACTATCACATTCAGCTATAAACTCATCAGTGGATTAGTCCACTGATGAGTACCACACCCCCATGACCCAGTCACCTTCTCAAAGCCCACCTATGAATGCATGAGGTGTTAGGTAGGGGGATGTCTATATATAAACTGTAACACATGCATACACATAAAGCTCTTTCACTGTGCACAATACAGTGGTTGTCTCAAGGAAAAAGAATGTGCCAGTAAGCTGGGTGTGCTGATGCACGCTTGTAATCCCAGCCCTCGGGAGGTTGAGGCAGGAGGATCGTTGCGAGTTTGAGGCCAGCCTGGGCTACAAAGTAAGTTCAAGGCCAGCCTGAACTGCATAGTGAGACCGTGTCTCAAAAAGACAAAAAAAAAAAAAAAAAAAAAAAGAATGTGCCCAGTGAACTAGCTACTTTTTCATGGAATAACATTTTTTACTTGACAGAATGGCACTGTGTCTATTCACATTTGGATATTTGGCAGATTTAAAACAAACAAACAAACAAACAAACGCAATTATCACTTCAAAGAAAATAAGTGGCAATATTTGTTGTTGATGATAAGATGTGAACTTTGCAGTGAAAATCAGGATTTTGGAAAACTTATACCTGCCACCATGAGCTTGCCAGTTTCTTGATGCAACTTTTCTGAAGAGATAGGTGGAGGTATTAACAAATGTGATATTCCTACAGTAGATAACTAATTGTGTCAACATTTAGAGGATATGCGTAACTCAGAATCAGTATTTTCCAATACACCAGTGCCTAATATTCTAAAATCATACATGGGTGAAAGATCTGAAGTCTGAAAAAGAGAATAATATAATGGGGCAAAAACTTCATTAACATGGTTTCAGATTCCACCTTGCAACTAGTCCTTAAGAAACTACTACTTCTTGAATTTTGAAAAAGAATAGCACAGTTATCTGAAAAGGCTATTAAAATGCTTTCTCCCTTTCCAACGGTAGAGCTTCGGAAAGCCAGATTATATGCTTTAATCAAAACAACAGATTGCAAGAAATTGAAGTAAAAGTGAGAATCCAGATGTATAGTATGAAGCTGTACACTGAAACTATTTGTAAAGGTGTTAAACAAAAAGTAAAAATATGCCTTTGAGGGCTGGGGATATAGCTCAGCAGCATAAGTGCCTGACTGGCAAGCATAAAGTCCTGAGTTCAATTCCTGTACCACATTTTAAAGGATTCATGCATGTGAAGATGTCCTAGCTGTGCATACTCTTCAGGATAGAGAAAATAGTAGCAAGTATCAAGCTCATAGCAGCCAAAAGCAATTGTATGATTGGGCCTCGCAGGCCTTTAACTTCAAATCCTCCAAATCCTTGGCTTGTGCTCTGTAGAAAAAGATCTAAGTCACACTCACTCATCAGCTTTTTAAATAGAGACTCCTAAGTGTTCTCCTAAGTCTGTCTGTGTTCCATGGCCACCATTCCAAGTGCCCTTTTCCTGGGAGGATATGTTATGGTTTACATTAGATATTCTCCTAAAGCCTCATGTAACCTTAGGTGGGACCTTTGGAAGGTGAATGGATTGTAGGGGCATTATAGCCGACTTGGTGTTAGGGGGTGGGGGCTGGTTAGAAGAGGCAGATCACTGAGGAGGACCTGGAGGTATATATGTTCCTTCCCAGCTCCTCCCTTGACCTACTGTTTCCTGTCTGGCATGCCCTGAGCAATCCTCCTCCACCATACGCCTCTGCCTTGCAGCTGGCTGACCACACTAGGACTGACATTTCTAAAACATGAGCCAAAATAAATCTTTCCTCTTTTAAATTGTGTCTCAGACAGCACCTGCCTGGCAGACTCAAGGTCCTGAGTTTGATTCCCAGTACCAAAAAAAAAAAAATCGTGTCTCAGTCCCAAGAATGTGACTAAGACAGCTTACAAAATTTAATATATTCATTCAGGCATTTTACTTCTACAAATTGACCACCCACACTATAGTGCATGGTTATATTTAAGGATGTTTACTTCAGGATTACTGCAATCACAAAAGTATAAACAGAAGCCAAATGTAACAGTAGGGTCTGATTAAATATATTGTGGCATATCCATAGCAAGGTGCAGAAACAAACATGGAGCAGGATCCTATTTTTTTGCTGTTGTTGTTTTTTGTTTTTCTTCCAGTACCAGGAATGGAACTCATGACCTTGCACTTGCCAGGCAAGTGCTGTGTGCCGCTGAGCTAAATCCCCAGCCCCATGGATCCTATTTTTGTAAAAAAAGAAAGCCAAGAAATATAAGTATCAAGTATACATAGTAGATTTGTGGAAAGACATCAAGCATTTGCTAGTTCTAGAATCTAGAACCATATTTTCTTTTGAGTTTTATGGTTTTGCTTTATAGACATGACAGGAGGTTAATTTATATCTAAGTGAACAGACAATTACCATAAGACTTTTACTAAATACTTTATCTTTCCCTACCGTTTTGAAATGTTGCTTTTATTCTATAAACTACCATTTACATGTGGTTCTGACTCAAGAATTCATGAGTTGCACTAATTTTAGTCTTTCCCAGTGCTAGCACCAGACATCGTAAATACAGCTCTAAACTACGTCTGTGGCAGCCAACTCATGTGACAACCAAAGATGGCTTCCCTGGCAAGACAGCAAAGGTTGAGCTCAGCCCTAGTGGAGGAAGAAAGGGAAGCACTGGCTGCTGGGAGGTGAGTCTGAGCTCAAGATAGAAGATCGTAAGCCAAGTGAGACTATCAAGGAAACCTTAATTGGTATCATAGTCAGAAACATTAGCCAACTTCCAAAAACAAATAGCAGTCTACTTGCACATGGATCAACATATATTGAACGTAATGGTGCTTTCTGCGGCCTAATGTCCAGCAGTCTATTTTGGCACACCTTGCATATGACACAGGCTTGTATCGATGCTGGTTACCAATGGTGGTGATACCAGTTTTTGTCGGTAAATCCCTCTTATACAAATTTGGTAAATTTACCTCTGAGCACACATGATTTGAACTGTGAAACCTGTACCATGGCACAGGCTAGACTGGTTGGTTTAGTTTTTGCTGGACCATACCCTGCTTTTGTGGCCATACCTATGAATGGTGCCCTAGCAGCCAGGAATGAATCAACCCTGCTACCAGAGAAAGGAAACATCTTAACATACTGGATTAGAATTTCCAAGCCTGTCTTTAGAAAGATGTTATTTCCTCTTTTACTTCACACTGTGTTTGCAACATACCCTGCGTCTAGACAATATAAACTACTTATTAAGCTTCAGTTATCTGAACCTTAGAAGTTCACTGATTTTTAACCAAATCTGTATGCAAAAATAAAATAATGAAAATAACATGTCTCTAATGTCAAAAATAAACATACACTTGTAACTTAGCACAAGAACTACAAGGTTACATAGGGCAACAAAAGGCTAAACCCCAACAAAGGCTACCCAGTTAAACAAGAGTCAAGGCAGGGGTTGTACTCAGTAGTACAGTGCTTGCCTGGCATGCATGAGGCCCTGGGTTCAATCCCTAGCACTGTGCCAAAAAAAAAAAAAAAAGCATAATTTCTTTAAAAGTTTGCTCAGCATTGTCTTTTCCATCTGGCTTGTGCCACTCCTTTAGGCATTGAGTCTGGTCTGTAACCGAAAAGGAAAAACTAATTATACAGCAGTTTTCAGTGAAGACTTCACAAAGCCAGACAGAAATGAAAAAGTTTAAAAGGATTTATCAATGCAGCAAATGTTATGTATGCATCATTTTTTCAGTTCAGTGCTTACATAGGATTGTTAATCCATAAAATCGGGGGCTGGGGATTTAGCTCAGCGGCAAAGCGCCTGCCTGACAAGCACAAGGTCGTGAGTTCGGTTCCCGGGACTGGAGAAAAACCAAAAACCAAAAAAAAAATCCATAAAATCTTAGAATGTATTGAATAGACTTCCTCGCTAGGAACCAATCCCAATCTATATCCTTGGAAAGCTCTGTTTTTATACTACGTAGGCAAAATCTCTTTTGAAGGTTCCAAATATTTTGGGATACTTCTTTAGAATCACAGCCTTTAACCTTCCTTCAGTGTATGATGCTAGGCACAATTAAGTTCTCTAAATCCTTAGAACCCTCATTAGCAACCTCACTCAAGGCTAGTATTGCATATGTAAGTTGCCTAACATAGTACCCAAAAAAATCAAGCACTAAAATGTTATCCATGTTCCTCGTGTAGCTCCTTTTTTGCTCCCTAAAATATACTATGGATTCATTTCCTCAGATCATTTAAATTTTTGAAGTGGTCTGCTGTATTCTCTTTCCAAACATTTCTCATCTTAGTTCTTTAAAGTATTTTTTTGTGACCGCGTCCAAATCACTTTCTGTGACAAAGTATTCTGTGAAAGAATACTTTATGTGACAGAAATGTTTTGTAGCTACACAGTTAATGTTGTTAGCCACTAGCAATATAGTTTCTGAGCAACTAAAATGGGGGTACACAGCTACAGTATCAGACAATGCACCGGTCTAGACCAACACCTTAAAAAGAAACCAAGTCACCATAGACAAGTACAAAGCAAACTCTTAAGTGTCACCTTAGATCATATTCATGAGCATACCGTACCCAGTCCTTCCAATACAGTGATTTATCTTAAGTAATATTATGTTACTCACAGTTATATAAAGGAGAATTTAGAAAAGGCAGCTTTGCAAGTGAAATAGGCTTTCTGCCTGTTTAGAAAAAAAGTAGTGCAGCCAGAGATTTAAAATTTAAGTAAAAATAGCAAAATAAATTTTCAGTTCTTTTTTCTTTCTTTTTTTTTTTGTCTTTTTTTTGAGACAGGGTCTCCCTGTACAGTTCAGGCTGCCCCTGAACTCATTATGTAGCCCAGGCTGGCCTTGAATGGCAATCATCCTGCCTTAGCCTCTTTGTTTGTTTTTTGTTTTTTTTTGTTTTTTTCCAGTACTGGGAATTGAACTCATGGCCTTGCGCTTGCCAGGCAGGCACTGTGCCACTGAACTAAATCCCCAGCCCTTGCCTTAGCCTCTTGAGTGCTAGGATTGCAAGTGTGGGCCATATGCCTGATAATTTTCAGTTTTTCTGAAAACAAAGATTTATTTTTTCAATAGGCACATAACATGTACAGTATTCTCTATCAAACTTATATGTACAAAGAGAAAGGTAATATGCCAAAATGTTTACTGTGCATATCCTCTGGATTATAGGCATGGTTGATTTTTCTTTTTATCTTATTTCTGATTTCCCAAGTTCTTTTTATCTTATTTCTGATTTCCCAAGTTTCTAAAAACAAACATCTATGTTTTTATTATCTGGAAAGGCACAAATCCTCTCAGTATTGTGTTTCAAAACATTTTTGCATAGATTTTTTTGTTTGTTTTTGAGACAGGGTCTTGCTATGTAGTCCCGACTGGCCTTGAACTCACTATGTAGCCCAGGCTGGCCTGGAACTCACGGCAATCCTTCTGCCTCAGCCTCCCTAGTGCTGAGATTCAAGTGCGCACCACCACACCCAGCAAATTTTTGTACAGGTATTTTTCTGAGATCAGATGAGATCAGGCACGTTCAGGGTGGTATGTTCATAGATTGCACAGGTATTTTTCTAAACAAACTTTAGAACAGGTATGTTAACTTTAAAGAGGTATTCAATTTATAGATTAATTTAGAGAAACTTGACTTTGTAGTAAAATTGATTTTCCCCCTTAAAGAACATGACTCCATTTATTCTGGCCTTTTTTTCTCTGTTCATCAACAAAGTTGTTTTTGTTTTTTATTTGGAACTAAGTTTGTTCCTAGATATTCTTGCTTTTATTATTATTGTGGAAAAAATACCCCTTTAAAATTTCACCCTTGAAGATTTATATTGCTGGCATTTAAGAAAGCTATTTATATTTACACACTTCCGTTGGGCCACCTTACCTAAAGCTACAGCCATCTGACTTGCTTAGGGGCCTGTGTATAAACAAGTTATCTTGTAATAAAATAGTGTAGCTGAATAGTAAAATGAAACAATAAAGCCATGCTGTTCTTAATTCATACTGCCTTCACTCCTGTGTTTAGGCTGCTGCTACTAGTGATCAAAGAGCTACCAGAATATTCTCAAGAACCAGAAAGCCCAGGAGAAATGTTTTGGTGGCAGTTGGAAAAACAACCTCAATCAGCTAACCAGATTCCTGAAAAGTGCTCATAATGTTACAAATCTCCAAAGCATAAAATGTGGTCACTGTAATCAATTCTAGAAATGTACAGCACCTCCTCAGGAACTCCCATTCGTTTAGCTGGGATTTTCTGAAAGGATCTTGCAAACAAGTTTTCTCCCATATGACCGTAGTTGTCCATAGCAGTCTGGGAATAAATTGTTCCCTGTATTTAAAAAAACAAAACAGGAAGAAGACAAGGTATAAAAACTCAAAGTTTAATCATAAATACATCAAGGCAATTCATCAATTAATATCCAAAATTAAGTGGTTTAACACTAATAGCAATGTTAACATTTCCAACATTAACTTTTCTTAATATTGTCAAAGGTGTGCAGTCAACTGCTATCCAACATGGATCATCTAAATGCTCATTTGTGACTGCCTCTCAGTAACCAGCCAAGTTCTGGATATTTTGGATACTTTCAGGAAAGACTTGGTTTCTAAACATCAGTTTAACTGGGAATAACCAGTCCATTACATATCTGTGCTTTTTAAAGGGGAGGGAACTGATCAAGGACTTAGAAATGCAATATATTTTTTCCAGAGTGAAATTACAAATAAAACAAATGAATCCACTCTAAATAATTTTTAATTGTTTAAAAATGCTTTCATAATCCAGGTATAGTAGAGCACATTTACAATCTCAGCACTCGGCAGGCTGAGACAGGAGGATCATGAATTTCAGCCAGCCTGAGCTACCTAGCATGTTCAAGGCTGGCCTGGATCACATAGCAAAACTGTAACAAAACAAAGCAAAACAAAACATGTTTCATTTATCTTCCCCTAGCTTCAAGGGCTTATAAGGTCGTGAAAATTACTTGAAAACTGTTGACACAGGATAAAGCGATCTGTAATTGATTCTGACTAGGAGTAATGAGATTGCAAAGAAAAAAGAATAAAAGTCAAATGAAGAAATCTGTATTAACTTGCCCTGAAGAACACTAGACAGATATACCGGTTTCCAACTAAACAATTTGTGCATATGTTATTTAAAGAGGATGAACTCTTTTAAAAGTACTAAAGTGTAAACAATAAACTTCAAAAAATTTCTGAAGAACAAACATGAATTTGTATCATGTTTATCATAGTGACACATCATTAAAGGTTTAAAAAAAACCACATTTTGGGAAGCCAGAATTCCAAAGTGTCAACATTATAACATTAAGAAGAGAACTATAATTTGTCTTAAATATTTGAGTGTAATATAGGTAAGTTAAAATACTGTAGAAGGCAGAAGATATATGAAGTTTCTGGGTCGAAAATTGTAATTTTGTTAGAGAGGAGATTTCTCTGTTAACTTCAACCAGTCAGGTGATGCTTTGCTCCTACTGAGTAGTGTGGATGATAGATCTGGAGCTATCAGACAGTTAAATCTATACATAATATCCAAAGGTTTTTACAGTTTTATAGTTTCAGCTAGAGAAATTACTATCATCTAAACAATAGCCAGAGAACATCACTGAAAGTAGAAATTAAACCAAGTTGTACAACATAAGTTATTTCATCTAACATTTCTCTTGGAACATGTGGCTAGTACTACCCAGGAGGCAAACACTGTAGCTTATTTCACAAAAATGAGTTTTTCAATTTGAATATATAGTGATTTTCCCCTTATTTTACACTATTATTCAGTGAAATTTTCTTTTGAGTTTTGGTTTATCTTTAGCAAGTAGTTCCTTTCCAGAACACTGACATTCAGGTTCTCTCTTTAAAAATGATTAATGATAAAACAAGAAACAGCAAAATGAGATAGAAAAATTGCTCTTGAATGCAGTGACATTTTCACGGTACCACTGAGATTTCTAGACTGCTTTTTAAAATGCAGGTTCCTGGATCATCTGATATGGAATGAAGCTCATCTATCACAACTCTTTAACTAGTTCACACATCACATTAATATATAGCCAGCATTGAGAATCATTGGCTTAATTTAACCTTTCTGACAAACTGTCAAGCAAAGAATACCTCTACAGTGCAGGTTGGATTTTCTAGTTTTATCTGCTTATTAAAGCCAATCTTTCCCAGTATACTTGCATATGTAAGCTGCTAGCATATTCCATATAGAACACTGACTTACAGGAGCAACACAGTTGATTCTTACTCCACTGCTCGCCCACTCCATAGCTAGGCACTTGGTGAGATTGTAAACACCTTCCCTCGCAGCTCCACTGTGACTTCAAAGACAAAATACAAATAGTACAATTAGCTTCTGTTGAACTTATTTCTTATTAACATTCCTGTTATGAGTCTCTGCTAAACACTGAGGGAAGAACTTAGTCTTTCAATGTTAAAGCCACAGCACTCTGATCTCACATTGCATACATAAAGTCCCCCAAATCGCCATGTGCATAGAGGAATATACTGATGAAATTTTTATGACAGAAAAAAACAAACTGATAATTTTAACAGTTACTAGTGAGTGGTCATTACTAAATCAATTTTAAGTAAGTGATACAAAATCCATGTATCTGCTAGAAATATCATGATAGCATTTCTGGATATATCAAAATAACATTACTGCCCTTCCAGGTAGAGGTGCAAAATATTTAGGTGTGCATCTGTATGGAGTCTAATGCAGAAGGCAAAGAGATACAATGATCCAGAATTTCTAAATATACCACAGTAGAGGATCCTAAGAACCAAAGGGAGTGTGATTTAATGTTGAAAAATTAGCTCCTAAAGCTAATTAGAAAATTTTTAAATTCAAGAGTATCTGAAATCAGCTTGGGAAAGACAAATTATTTAGTAAATGTTGAAGGATTTCCTGTAACATTTGTTTTTATTAAGGTCTCCTGCTGATAAGTTGTTCCTGATGGAAAACATGTGAAAAAAGACTTTATTCTACCTTTTTTTGAAAGACATTTGAACCAAAGAATTCTGGTTGGTGTGTTTTTTCCCTGCATTCTGCAGTCTTCTAATCCACATTGTTTTCAGTGAGAAATCTGCTTCTGTGCAGAGTATACCTTTTCACTTTAGTGACGCTTAATAGCTTCTCTTCCCTATGATTTTGAGCAACATGATGAACTGTGTGCAGTTTCTTCATGTTCTTGTGCTTAGCATTTGTTGAACTTCTTAGATCTATACATTTTTAGTTTTCATCAAATTTGAAAAAATTTTGGTAAAATGGTCTTTAAAAAATGTTTTTCTGTCCCTGCTTCTCTCTTCTTTGAAGACTATCTCACAGTTCACTGATGCTCTATACTTTTTTTTTTGTTGTTGTTTTCTCACTGTGTGATTCATTTCTGGATAGTTTCTTTCTTTTCTTTTTTTTTTTTTTTTTTGGTTTTTCTCCGGTACTGGGAACCGAACTCACGACCTTGCACATGCCAGGCAGGCGCTTTTGCCGCTGAGCTAAATCCCCAGCCCCCCATTTCTGGATAGTTTCTATTGCTATATCTCCAGGTTCACTAATTGTTTCTTCTGAAGTGTCTAATCTGCCATTAATCCCCTCCAGTGTATTTTTTCACTGTAGTTTTTGTCTGTAGATATTTGATTTGGGCCTTTAAAAATCTCTTTTATGTTTCTGTTCAGCATGTTCCAGCTTTCCTTTAGCTTCTTGAATGTACAGAATAGTCATCATAATTCTCTCAAGGTTCTGCCTATTATTATTATTTTGGTACTGGGAATCGAACTCGGGACCTTGTGCTTGCCAGGCAGGTGCTGTACCATTGAGCCATATCTCCAGCCCCTTTCCTGCTTATTTTTATACCCAGCAATTTTTTATTGGACTGCAGATATCTTTAAATATTGTTGAGGTTTGTTCTGACCTCTGTAGGTACAGAGCTGCATTTAGTCTAGGAATATTTTTCCTCACTACTTTATTGTATCAGCTTTTTCAGCCTTGTTTTGTCTACCTGTGAGGTTTTCCAGTGTGGCTGTTGGGAACGGACACTACGCTAGGCCTCGAGAGAGTGCTGGGCAACGTTTCAGATGTTCTTTCCTGTACACCTGTGCTGATCTGACTTCTGTACATCTGCAGGCTGCTCTTTCATCACAGCTCTCTCCTCCCTCAGGCTAACCTCTGGACCTGACCCCCTGGTCCTTTCTCTTGACACGGGAGATTGCCAGTCTCTGCTTCAGTTCCCCCTTCTGCATGACGATCCAGAGGAGAGGAATAAACTGGAATAAACACACAGCTCACCTCATTTGTTTCCTGTGTTTCAGAGACTACTCTGCTTTGCTGCCCAATTTCTAGTGTGTCAAATGTCATCACTTCATATGTTTCGTCTGTTTTATAGCTGTTTTGGGTAAAAGTGTAAATCCTGTCCTTGTGATGCCACCTTGCCATGAAGCAGCTCTTATGCATTTTGCTTAAAAATTGGTTCATAAATTAATGTTAAGTTAAAAAGGAAGTAGAAGAAGGGTATTTAAAACACCCCGTTTGTTTTTTAAAAAGCATATAGATGTCCTCATACATGTATAGCACTTCTTTGTCCATCTGACTTGAAAAAAAATTTTTTTGAGACAGAGTCTCACTGTGTAGTTCAGGCTGGCCTTTAACTCACTGCATAGCTGAGGTGGGCCTCAGGCTCATGGCAGTCCTCCTGCCTCAGCTTTCCTAGTGCTGGGACTACAGGCGTGTGCCAACACACCCAGCTTGAAAATTTTAAATTCAGAGATTAAGATGTGCTAGGATGTGTTAGGCACAAAAATGAGACTTCTACTTCTTTACTTATCCCTATTTCCTTTGTTGAAAACATATAATACTAAAAAATAAACAAAAAATCCACCAGGTTAAATCCTCTTTGAATTAAGAGATTATCTTCAAATGACATTTTAGAAGTTTTTTTTTTCAGTTTAAAAACTACCACTGGGGTGGGGATATAGCTCAGCAGCACAGTACCTGCCTGGCAAGCACAAGGTCCTGAGTTCAATTCCTGGTACCACAAAAATAAAAACTACCATTATTTTCTGTCTTGTTTCAAATGAGTATATTATTCATATACTATTTTCTCAGTGCCTTATATCTTAGGGTATAGAATAAAGCTTTTCCTATTGCCCTTTACATAATCTCTGGTTTCCTAAAAAAATCCAAGAGATTAGAATTTACAAAAGATCCTACGAAATCATCAAAAAGTATGTTTTAAAAATTACACTTTTCAATTGCTACACATGTGATTTTCAAGTAGATTTCTTACAGGTTGTTGTTTTTCCTGCTGTGGTATTTCAGTGAACTTTTAGACTCTTATGAAAGAACTAGCCAGTATGTTAAATAGGTATTTCACTTCTGTTATTAAAAAAAGCATTCATTCATATAAAAACCTATCAAAATCAGAATAAGAGTAATATATATTACATTCCATTAAGTTGAATTTGAACAAAGGATGCAAAATTCTTTTGTTGTAGATCTTATAAAATACTCACTAGCCAACAAACACATTTTAATTATTTGAAGATACTTGATATAAAAAAAATGACAGAACTAAAGTGGGTACCTAAATGTTCCCTCCAAAACAAGTAGATGATGCTCCCCGAATTATTACTTCCTTGACCCTCACCATTCTTCATGTTTTCTTTATAATACATATTTTAACATAAAAATTTTGCTACCCAGCTTTTCATTACTTTATATAACACATCCTCTGATAATCAACTTATAAAGAGAAGTGGTTTATTTTGGCTCACAGTTTTAGAGGGTTCAGTCCATGATCAACTTGCCCCCTTGTTTTCTGCAAAACCACTTACCTCACAGTCAGGAAACAAAACAAGCAAAAGAGAAGAAGAAAACATTAGGTCCTTAAACCCCCTTCCAGGGCACACTCTTGCCTCTATTCTTTACTGTTTTTGGTAAAACAACTTTACTTCCACTTGAGGAAATCTCAGTCCACATCTGAGTGGTATCATCCCCAGTTCCTCATGCTGGCTGTGTATAGCGTAGTAACACCAGCCTCACAGTATTTGTTTGATGACTCAAGCAGGGTCAGCTCATGAGTATCCTCTCTGGGAATTGCTGGTGCTGGCATTACCATTGTTATTTTTCAGGCATTTCTTGAAAAGTTCTTTCAAAGTTCACAGTTAGGTAGAATGGGGGTGTTGACCTCTACCTTGTAGTACTCTCATTTGGCCACGTGTACAGAGAGCCTTCCTGGGAAGGAAGGTGGACCTGAGGCAAAGAGAGGAGAGGCAGGTTTCTGACACCGTGGTGCCTAAGCCCACCATGCTCTGGTCCAGTGGTTCTGCTTGGACCAGCACCACCTGGAGACTTGGGCACACGAGCTGCTGGGCACAGCTCCCAGAGCTCCTGATGCAGGAAACCTGGGGGGCTGGAGGACAAACAGTTCTGACACATACTCCCATAAGCTTGTCTTTCTGGTCCAGAATCCACACTTGAAGAACCACTGATCTCAATTTTTAAACCAGATTAACATTTTTTTCCATCCCACATAACTGAGGGAGTCCTGTAATACAGGAAACAAGCAAGAGTATTGGAATTTGTGTAGAGAAGCAAGCACTGTACTTGTAGAGTGGCTAATTGGAAGTACAGAACCTTATAGACTATTGGCAAATAATTCTGCCTTTCTATTGGGAGTAACCATTTTGCATCCTCTTTAAGATCAAATAGGCATATTTACAGTAGTTGTCTAAATTAACACAGATTTTATTTTTGTCCACTGGACCTTAACAAAGGAGCTCTATCCTAATGGTGACAGTCAGTTTAATAACATTCATATTAGAGTTTTCATATGAAATACAGGACATATAGTTCTATATAAATTTGAGGTAAACAAGGAATAACTTTCTAGCACAAGTATCTTTCACACAATATCTTGCACATATTTATACTAAAAAATTACATCTCTGGGTACTCTGTGTTTTGTCACTTTTCTCACTAAATACAGTGACTTTACTCTGAGTGATTTGGGACAACTGGCATGTTTTAGAACAACATTTTTAACATTAAAATAAAAGGAAATGCTAAGTATTGAGATCCCAACTCACTAAAGGCATTAATGATATTGATTTAAGCAATTTTTCCTATACTCTTCACCTCATTCAAAAACAAAACTCAAGAGACACAAGAAGGAAAGACATAGGAAGAAAAAAAATAAATAAAACTGCTTACCCCATTAATGGTTGTCCATGAAGAAGGATGATGATATTAACGATAGATCCTCCATGCTGTTTCATCCAGGAATTGTAAGCTACAAAATACAAACAAACAAAAATCATACTAAGGAGTCTTTTCTCATATCCTGTTCCAGTAGCTGCTTATTTGTTATGTGTTATTTTTTAATTTACTTTTTTCTTTTTCAGTACTTGGGACTGAATGCAGGGAGTGCTGATCTATATCCTGACTCTTCTAATTTGTTTTATGTGAGACAGTCTTACTAAGTGTTCCAGGTTTGGTTCAAACTTGCAATCCTTCTGTCTTAGGCTCCTGAGTAGCTGGTATTACAGGAATGTGCCACCATGTCTGGCTCAATTTATATTTCTTTTTTATAAAAAGCCAGACTGTGATACAATTTATACATAACAAAATTCACCCACTTTAAGTGTACAATTTAATCATTTTTAACAATATACAGAATTTTTCAACTATCACCCCAATTCTATTTTTGAACATATTAGCTACCCTAAAAAGTTCCTTTGCAACCATTTGAAGCCCAGTCTACTTCCTGGAAATCATTTATTTTTCTGTTTTTGTAGATTTTGCATTTCACTTTTCTGTACATTTTATGTAAATTGAATCAGATGGTATGTGGTCTTTTGTGTCTGGCATCTTCCACTTAGAGTAGTACATGTGAAGTTCCTGCATGATGTGTTAACAGTTCCTTCTTAGTGCTCAGTAGTACTTGTAGAGACATGACATACTCTGTTTATCCACTCACTAGCTGATAAACTTTTGGATTGTTTGCACTAAGGGTGATTATGAATACAAATCTTAGGGTGGACATACTTTGTATGTTTTTATTTCTCTTGGATACATAGCTATGAGTGAATTTAGTGGGTCATACATTAACTCTATATTTAACTTTTGAAGAAACTGCCAAACTGTTTTCCAAAGTGGGTCCACCATTTTACATTCTACTAGAAATGTATGTAGGTTCTGGTTTCTTTGCACTATTACTGTCTGACTTATTGATAGTCTCTCTAGTATGTGTACACTCGTATCTCACTGGGGTTTTGATTTGGATTTCTGTAACGATTAATGGTGTTTGTCAGGCATGCCCTGAGAAAGACCTTCCCAATAAACATGGTGCCCTCTACAAACAGGAATCCATTCTGCCCTCAGCAAATAGAACTGATGGTCATAAAGAAATTTGGGACTGGAACTGCAGTCCCCAAGATGCTGGAAGACCCAGCTTTGTATGCACACTTGTGCTGATTCAGATTTCTTGGGACTATGACTTCCAACCCCAAGCCCTATATATACTTAGCCTCCCCTCCAGGTATTCACTGATATCACTCTGATTTCAGCCTGCCTGTACCTATGGAAGTTAAATCTAATCTTTCCTACAGTCTCTGTCTTTGGGTACTTCCTCACATGCCATTAACTAACAGTTATGCCAATACCACACTGTCTTAAAATCAAGAAATAGCTCTGAAAGGAAGAAGTATGTGGCCAAATTTGTTCTCATTATTGTATCTGGGTTATTTGTATTTCTATATATATTTTAGGATAGGCTAGGCAGTGTCTGAACAAAATTCATAAGGGTTATACTGAACCTACTGGTCAATTTGAGAAGAATCACCATCTTGACAATATTGAAAAAAAAAAATGCACCTGATATTCCAGAAACATAGAATGACTGTACATTGTTTAAACCTTCTACAATTTTTCTAAGCATTGATTTATAACTTTTGGTATACAAGTCTTTACATTTCCTTTGCTAATTTCATTCTTAAATGATTTATTTCTTTTGAAGTCCCATTTGATATTTAGGCACCCATTCAATTCATACAAAAAAAGGTATTGCTAGACATGTGCCTCTAGACTCTCTTCAGTAGAAACATGAAGTTTTAGAATTTAAAGGTAAGAGAAATTCAATACCAAATTCTATTAAAAACTCAAGCAAAAATAAGAATACTTTGTCATTACTTAAAGCTTCCTGGTGAATTTATATCAAGTCATAACATGACAGTAAAAAGAGGTAAAGCCCTAGAAAAGAACACATAAAAATAACATGTTGAATCTAAGCAAATTTTTTCACATTGCTGAAACTGGGATATCTTTATGGGTGGTGGCATCTTACATTTATAAGTCTCAGTTCTTCCTTTCTTCCTTTCCTCCTTTTCCCTCCCCTCCTTCCCCTCCCCTGCCCCTCTTTTCTTTCTTCCTTCCTCCCTATCTCCCTCCTTTCCTCCCTCCTCTCCTCTCTTCCTCCACTTCTGCTGTCTCTCTTCTCCCTTCCCTTCCCTCTGCCTTTCCCTCCTTCTTCCCCAATTCCTTTCTTTCTTCCTTCATTCCTTCTTTCCCTTCTTCCTTCCCTCCCTCCCTTTTTTCTTTTCTCTTCTCTTCTTTTTCTTTCTTTTCTTTTCTTTCTTTCTTTCTTTCTTTCTTTCTTTCTTTCTTTCTTTCTTTCTCTCTTTCTTTCTCTTCTTGTTTCTTTCATACTAGGATTTTAATTCACAGCCTGTGCATGCTAGGCAAGGGCTGTATTACTAAATTACATCCCCAGCCTCATATTAAAATTTTTTTGAAAAAAAATTTTTTTGAGATAGTGTCTCATTAAATTGCCCAGGTTAGCCTAGATGTTGGGATCCTCTTGCCTCAGACTCCCACGTAGCTGGCATTCTATGCATGTGTTACCATGCCATGCTCAGCTAACTTTCTTAATGATACATAGGATGCTAGTACATTTCACAACTCATCTTGTCTTTGACTCAACAAAATACAGTGGTTATTTTTAGACAATTTACTCTGTATCCAGAATGCCCAGAAGCTAATTTGACAAGTCAGTAATCTGTATGATAACAACTACAAACCTTTGCCAAAGGATATAAAAGAACAATTCATTAATAAAAAGACACATGACAGTGGGGAGACTGAACATTTAAATATGTCAGTTATTTTTAAATTAAATTTAACTCAATTTCAATCAAATTCCCTAATATGATTCTGGAGGTAGAACCCTGAATATAAAATTCTTCTGAAAAAATACATGGTCATGAATTGTCAAGGTAAGTTTGGAACTGAAGATATAAAACATTATTTCCCAAATCAAATATTAAAAAGTAATAAAATAATTTGCTCCCAGTATAACAAAGGAGAACAAGTTTATTTCAATTACCCAATACAGATTTTCTCCTTGAGGATAAATACCACCATATGGTTCACAGTTCTGAAACTGCTTTTGTTTCTGAAATCTCTGACAAGTTTCCAGAGCTATTTTTTTCAAACAGTCAACATAGATGCCATATAACCCCCAAGAACAAACAGAGAAGATAAAGATAAAAGAAAAATCTTTCCTAATGGAAGGTTCATAAGCCACTGTCAAGATGAGAGGAAATCACAGTAACTGTAACATGAAATAATGTGGAGAAAACTAGAATGTCAAGTTCTTCTAATGTATAAAAAGAATGAACTCCATTGTCTAAGTTGATTAAATAATCTTTATTCTTCTAATTTTCTTTTATTGTGGTAAAATACACACAGTATTTATCATCTTAACCATTTCAAATATACAATTCAGTACTAAAATTTTAAGTACATTCATATCATTATACACCATTACCACCATCCACCTCTGTCTTGGTTACTTTCCTCTCCTTGCTGAGACAAAATACCTGACACCCAAAATAAAGGAAGGAAAGGTTTATTTAGCTCACAGTTTGTGGAATTTCAGTCCATACTCAGCTGGCTCCAGAGCAGAGTGACACATGGCAGAGAGCAAGTGTTCATGGTGGCAGAGCATAGCAAAAGCAACAAGAGGACAAGGGGAGGAGCTGCAGAAAGCAGCCTCTTTCCCTCCTTTACATTGTATGAAAACTACCCAGGCCAGGGCAAGTGTAGCAATCACACCCGTAATTCCAACCCTGGACCATAAATCAATCATAAATCTAGAAGCCCACCTCATGACTGCATGAAGATTTGGGGGGACATGCAGACACAAACCATAACAACCTCCAGAACTGTTTTCATCTCATAAAATGAAAACTGCCTACAAAACAATTATTTTTCATTCTCCCATTCCTAGCACTTGGCAACCCCCATTCTACTTTCTGGATCAACAGTTCTTTCACAAAGTTTGAAATTACTATTTGGTAGGTTTTGAAGCAGCACAGTATATATGGATTTAGAAGAGTAGAGACTCTCCTTGCTTTGAGCTTCTCATGGTGTAGTTCACCTGAGTCTCAGCTATACAAAATACTATTCATCCTGCATTCGTGCAATAGGCATTGTATCAAGTGACATGGCAGACATAAAATTTACTTTATAATTGTAAATGTAAATTTTAAGAAAAATAAAATGCTTTAAGAGTTGGCAGTTTAAGAATATTTCACCAAAAGCTCATTATATAAAACTGACTTCCATATCATTAAAAATAGATTCTAGATAGTAGATAATATTTTTTGGTCATTGTATAGTTGATAGTATTCCATTGTGGTTATTGATTGACAGCTGAATTGTCTTTGGAGTTTTTCTAACAAAGGTGCTGCAATTATAATAGATAGCTGTTAGGTAGAAGTATTATAGCCAGCCAGACAGGGCTAGGCCCTCAAGAGAGTCAAAATAAAAGATGAAAACACATTACAACTGTGGCCAGAGGTGCATCGGTTGAATGCCAAGCCTCAAGACAGAGACGAGATGACCAGGCCTACATGCCTCCCCAAGGGATAAGTTAAGTGGTAACACCTGGTCCAGTAAAGTCTAGATAGACATCAGTCACCTCAGTGGGTGACCAAGACTCCCGGATCCATCCCCTTCCTGAAAAGTTCTTTGTTTTTTCCATGTACACTTGCTGGGTGACTTGCTTCCCCATTGGATCAATATTATCTAAGCGGCTATATTTATTGGTTGATCATAGCTTTAACCCAAGTTGTACCCATGTGATTATGCTCTATAAAACTTCCTTTGAAAGTTAAGGTCCACTGCAACTCACTTGGGCACCCTCCTGTCTCCCAGGTGCTGTATCACTTTCCTTCAATAAATATTTCCTACTCTTAACCTCCATTGTTCCTTAGAATTCATTCTTTGATTTTGGGGAACATGATCTTAGCATATCAGACATCTAGCAAATTGGGAATTATAATATTTCCTCTATACCATTTGGAGCTCTGGTATCATTCCTATATCATGGATATTACTGTGACACTTGTTTGTTTGTTGAGACAAGGTTTTGCTGTATAGTTCAGGCTGGCCGTGAATTCACTTTGTAGCCCTGGCTAGCCTCAAACTTGTGACGATCTTCCTGTCTCAGCCTCCTAAGTGTTGGGATTACAGGTGTGTGCCACCACACCTGGCTTGTAACACTCTTTTTAAAAATAGTTTTCATCAGCATGCCTTTGGAAAGGTCCCTGAAAGTGAAATTTCCAGATCAAAGAATAAATGCCTCATAAAGTACGCTGTGAAATTCTTAGACTTTGTTCAATGTGATAAACCAGAAATGGTTTTGCAGTGTAGTTATAATTTGCATTGTTCTCATTAGACAAGAGTAAGTACCTGCTTACAAGGGTTAAAAGCCATCTGAATTTGCCTAAAAGGTTTTCCCTCTAATTTTAGAACTTCATTATGTGCTACAAATTTTAACTGTTTCTGTGAGATAAGTTGGAACTATTTTTTTTCTGCTTGTCATCTGTCTTTTCAAAAAATATATTTAACATTCAAATACATATTTACTACCTAGCTGTTTATTGAAAATCCCCAGAGGCAATGACAGTCTGCAGCACATTTAGTATATATCTTGATTTTCCAAAACTATTCGCTACTAAATGGAAGGAGAGCTTAGAGAAACAGATCTGAGTCATGTCAAGACACAAATGAGGATTAAAAACAGTGCCATAAGACAGGCAGCAAAATACAGCCTCTCTGGGAACTGGGATTGAGACCCTTGTAAAATAAAAACTTAGTAAAGAAAAAAGAAGCAGAGCTCAGGAATCAAGAGCCAATAGGAAAACTACAAACTACAGAGAAACTGAAGGCATCGGCAGAGAAAAGAATGAAGCAATCTGGATTGCTAACCCAGTCTCCCGGGGAGGTTTTGTCTCTGCAAACACAAAGTAAGCCCATAGAGGGTTGTCGCCCCAGGGAAAAACAGTGATCTGGCAGCACCACTCCAAGGAGAGCCCATTCTATTGTGAGCTGCAAATAGAAAGTGGGGTTTTACTCTGAAAATGACTTCTTCCACATGGCAGGCTAGCTTTGGAGAAGGAATCCACTGCAGTATCTGCTCTATCTTGGAATGATATCATCAGGAGCCATTCTGAGAAGGGGTTTATTAAGACTAAGCTATCCCACGAATCAGAAGTCACAGAACCACTACACTTCAGGGTCTCGGGTCAGAGTGACTTGGTGGGAGACAGGCACAAGAGACAGACACAGAGAAGGAGTGGGCTAGTTGCAGATCCTTTGAGAAGTTTAAGCAGTAGTGAGCTCAGGTTGTGAAGGGCACAGTGGTCCCACCCAAGCAAGTGGTTTGGTTTTCTGAGGGGGCTGGGTCTGAAAGTGCTGACATTGAGTCCCTCAGATTGCTTAGTCCCCCTCTGTGCCTACTGTAGGCACTGATCTCAGTAGTCTGTTTGTTTTCTCCTCTACCAATGTGGTCAGAGATTCATCATGGCGTGGATAGTTCCTCGTTCTGGGGTGCATCGTCAGAGGGACCTCTGGACCAAGGGAGGCGCCTCTGGAGCTTCCATAGGCCATAAAGCTAGTAGAAGATAGTGGTGATTGGGGCGCAAACACTGGAAGCTGCTGGAGTGAATGCAGCCTTAAGGCAGACAGCACACCCTTGACTGATCACACCCATTGGGAAAAGCAGGGCGGAACTCAGCATTCATACAGCAAAGAGCAGTGTGGAAACAAAATAGGGGTATAAGCACCAAAACATAACCAAACCAAGGGTCACATCACAGGGAGGCAGAAATTAACTAAAGAGATCTAGACAATAGTGACACAATTTCTCTACCCTGTCCCCAACCCATACCCCAAAACAATAGAAACATGAGAAAACAAGGCAACAAGATGCCCCCTAAACCCCTAGCCTCCTCAAAACTGATCTCAGAAAATGAGGAATAGGAAGCTATAGGCAAAGAACTTGAAAAACCAAATGGTCAAAAAGTTTGAAGAGCCAAAAAATGAAACATAAGCATAAGACATTTAACAAGCTCAAAGAGGATTTAATCAAAGGATTTCATCAAAAAAATGTTCCATAAGTTTAAAGAAGAAACAAATAAAAAATTGAGTCAAGCAAGACAATACAAGGTACAAATGACCACTTCAGAAAAGAATTAGAAAGCATGATAAGAAAGCAAGCAGAGGTGTATGACATGAAAAAGTCATTGGAAAGCATAGGTAGCAGACTTTACCAGTGTGAGGACAGTGTCAGAAATAGAAGGCAAGGTAGATGCAGTAGCTCCTAAACTCAATGATATCCTAAAATGACAAAACACCATGCAAGCTGGATCCAACAGTGACTCAATGTCTTAAAGAAACAACAACCTCAGAATTACAGGAATAAAGTAAAAATTAAAGATAAAAGGTATGAAGAATTTAATTTACTGAAATCATAGCAGAAAAATTTCCAAATGTAGGGAAAGAATTTAATATTCAAGTATAAGAGGGATGCTATTAGAGCCTGAGATAGCTATGACCAGAAAAGCACTTCTCCACAACAAATCATAAACTCCAGAAATTCAATGAAAAGAGAGAATACTAAAAGCTGTTAGATAAAAACAGCAAGTGACCTATAAATGCAAGTATATCAGAATAACTACAGATTTCCTAATATAAATCTTAAATGCCAGGACAGACAAGAGTAAAGTATTTCAATCCCTAAAAGAAAATAATTATCAACCCAGAGTTTTATATCTTACAAAATTAGCCTTCAAAATCGACAGAAAAAGATTTTCCACAACAAAGAAATCCTAAAGAAATACATGACCACCAAACCACGAGTATAGGAAATAATTAGGGGAAGTCTAGACAGAGATAGGGAGACCACTTGTACCAAAGGGCCCAAAGGAAATCATACATTTCACTTGAGAGTAGTCACACACACACACACACACACACACACACACACACACACACAGAGCACTGGAAAAATAATGCAATGATAGGGTCCACTAAACACCTTAGAATAATAATTCAGTATCAATGGACTCAACTCCCCAATCAAAAATCACAGATTGGCAAATTGGATCAAAAACCAAAATGAAACCATGTATTTCCTATAGGAAACACACCTCATCCAAAAAGGACATAGAGGGCTGGGGATTTAGCTCAGTGGCAAAGCGCCTGCCTGGCAAGCGCAAGGTCGTGAGTTCGGTTCCCGGTACCGGAGAAAAACCAAAAAAA